GTTGAAGATCAGTATGAATTCCTTTGCTGTTCTCGAACAAGAAAAAGAGTGGTAAAATTCAACTCCAAGAAGTAGAATTCAACGATGGCCCAGTTTCTTGAGTATGTCGTCGACTTTACTATCCCGATTGGCATGAAAAAAGGCTTGACTCATGCTTGATCCTTGCGATGGCTTCCATCTTCAAACCATAATCTTGTTGAGGAGACACAGATAAGACTGAAACAAATCTTGTACAATTTTGATTCAGCAATGCTGATCAAGTTCACATCAAAAGGTTCATGTCTCGGTTCGTGCAATGGTCAAGAAACCGAGAAGAGAAAAATGTCATAATTGCTTCTAACCAGGTGTGTTTGAACTGTGGTCGAGGTTGTTCTTAGGAGTAATGGAAGTTTTTTCGGTAGACTGGATCGGGTTCAAATGGTTAGGACAATCCATAACCATTGTGGAGTTTGTGTTTATGAGGTGGTATCGACACAGGGAAGGGGAATTCCGAAAGAGCATCAAAAATCTGTTTTTGAAAACTTTGTGCCAAGTTAAAGAACAGGAAAGAGTCTGTTGGCGGACTTGTGATAGGGCAGCTCTGGACAGGAAAGGTTGTGCGTTTGGGACTTGTATTGTCAATCTCGGTAAAGTAAATTATGCTTATTTTTTTGTCTTTTGTTTTTTGAAAATTTCACCCCTTTAGTGTTGCAAATCAAACAGTTAAAGCGCGAGCGATTGCTTTCAAAATTGCAAAAAAATACTTCATTGTGCTAGTTAGAAAAGCCTCCATATACCAAATTGCAGCATTGAACTGCTCATAAAATTTAGTTCACCTATGCTCCCGTATGTTTGAAAAATGTTTCCACATTTTTCTATTTGGCTTTACAACGGAAAAGGAACGCAACAGAAAAATGTTTTTTGTCGTCAATGGGAAAACAAACCTAATTTCTTTTAAAATGTGAAAATTGTTTCCTGAATTACAAATCTACCAATGCCTACCTGCACTACCACCACCTTCACCTCACCTTCCCATCACCATCACCATCACCCATTCCTGCTGCCACCACGTCCACTTCTGTCGACGCCATCACCACCACCACCAATACAACCATTACAACATTAGTTTCAAAGACACAACCAAACATAGAAAAATATTTTTTTTGCAAAAAATATTTCCTAGTAAAAGCTTTTCGTGGAGAATGTTTTCCTTTGTAAAATGTCTTTTGCCAAAACAAATGAAACCATATAAATAGTCTCTCTACATGCAGAATTAAGACTGCATACATCTGATCTTTTCTAAATTGTGCAGTGACAGGAGTCTTGTGCACTGGAACTGCCTCATAAATTGATATCTAAGTTTTTATTACTTTGATATACATGTTCTGATTCAAGATAAAACTTAAATCCAGGTGCGACTAATGGGGGGAGAGATCAAAATTGTTGACAAAGACCCCGGTGAAAGAGGCACTTGCTTCAGCTTCAACATTTTTCTCACTACAAGTCATTCTCTATCCACTGACAATGAAAAACCAGAAGACAATCTTACCCTAAACAGTGAAATTTCTCTAACTGATTCTCACCAACACTTTGGGCTCCATCGTCGGTCCCCTTCCCCGAGATCAGAGGGGTCCCACATCGTGCTCCTAATCGCAGGAGAAGAACGGAGGAAAGTCTCAAAGAAAGTGATTGAGAATTTAGGCCTAAAAGTATCGGTTGCCAAGCAAGCAAAGGACCTTTTCCATATCCTTAAAAAGGTAAAACACAGATTGGACCTTTCTCAGTACAGTTCTTCAGAGAAAAGTGAGCTATGTATGAATGAATACTTGTCCAAATCAGAATCCGGACACTCCAATTCTAGAGGATCCAATTCTAAAAGCTCAACAAGTTTCATACTAATTGTGATTGATTCAAGTGCGGGAAATTTCTATGAACTATGTTCAATTGTGGGAAATTTCAAGAAAGACATCCCAAATCCCCGGTGTAAGGTTGTTTGGTTAGAAAACCCGGTAATGCTTTCTAGAGGCCACGAAGAGCATGGGTCAGCTCCTCCGTGGGATCACATTCTGTCGAAACCATTTCATGGATCACGTTTGTATCGAGTTTTAGGACTATTGCCTGAATTTGGAGGTATGTTTCAATGCAATTCACACAGATTCAGAATTGAAACAGATCCAAAAGTGGAAAATACTAGGAATGAGATTGGAGAGCACTCTCTGAAACAGATTGTGATAGAGAAAGATGGTGAGAAAAGAAGTGAGAGGCCTTTGAATGGGAAGAAAGTTTTGGTGGTTGATAATTTGAAGCTATTGAGAATGGTGGTTGCTGCTGAAATTCGAAAACTCGGAGCGAATGTTGATGTTTGTGAGAATGGGAAAGAGGCTTTTGATAGAGTTTGCAAAGTTCTTGGTGATCAAAGGAGGGAAGAAGGAGATTCTCAGGCTCTTCCCTACGATTACATTTTCATGGATTGCGAGGTAATTCAATGAACTCTCATCTTGAATCTTTATTTTTTATTTCTTTAGTTTTTGGTAAAAGTTTTATATATGAAGGGAATGAAATCCTTTGCATAAGATGGTTCAGGATACATATTAGTTCATAGCCAATTCATGAGCTGGTTCACAACCGACACGGAGCTGTTATAAAGCTCTTTTTCAATGCTGAGAATTTTAACAAATTCACGATCGCATCACCTTATGCATATCAATTGATACTCCCGATATTACTACACCGTGATTGATATTGATTCATCTCCTTATAGCGCTATCAAAGATCTTGCTCATGACTCCTTGACACTGAGTTGTATGACCTTGGTAGGGCATTTATAACTTGATCTAGTTTGTTTAATCTTAATAAAGTTGCCTAAATCTTCCAAATGTTTGCCTAAGAATTATTTAAAAAATCCAAAACCATGCAAATTTTCACTATGCATGGAGATAATTCAATCACATATACATGTACAAGCTATTTCATTTCTGTATTCTAAGAAGAGCACCACTTTCTAGACCGAATTTCGGTCAAAAGGTAATTGCATTTTCTTGGTTAATGATGGCCCCGCTTTATCACAATCCAATGAAAATGTAACACGTCAGTCACTTTTTGCCAAAAACTCAGCATATTAATGATTTTCCTTGTAATAAAGTACCTACATTCTAAGAAGAGGACTACTTTTTTGACTGAATTTCAATCCAGAACCAACTGAGGTTGCAGCATTTCATTGGACAATTCACTATGCAACACCTCAATAAGAAGTCTACTCAATCACAACAGAATTAGACAAAGTATATGAACAAATAAAAACTTTTAGAAATGAGTCCCAGTAACACATTCCATAAAATCTTATTTATTCATCTATTGTACGTTTCATTCTTTGTTTAATTTTCTATGTTAATAGTAGAACTGATCACTTTCGGCCAGCAACTAAGCCTATCAATGATTTTCCATCTAAGAATGTACTTTTCATGTATTTTTGTTGAATAGATGCCAATAATGAATGGATATGAAGCAACAAAGCTTATTAGGAAGGAAGAGAAACACTATGGAATCCACATTCCAATCATAGCATTGACAGCCCATTCAATGGATGAAGAAGCAAGCAACACAATCATCCATGCTGGGATGGACTTCCATTTAACAAAGCCATTACAAGTAGACAAGTTGTTGGATGTCATTCAATCTATTGACAAATATGTACAAGATTGAGAAATTTCTCAAAACTTTGTTGTTTCATGGAGAAACTACTTGGTACAATTCAATTTTGAACATTTCACATTGTTGTCACTCTGAAATTATTTTCATATCATCGCATCTTTTTGTCCTTGATTTGATTTTGTATTTCATATTTCTCTATAAACTTGAATCTCAAACCTCTTTGTGAAAATCTAAAAATACAATTATTTGAATACAAGTGTGTGCACCATTGATTTTTCTTCAATCTCTTCATAGTATTGTGCCTCCATGATTATTTTATCACTCTAACTATATTTCACTATTGAAAATAATTTACAAATTGAATTTTTGTACCCAATTTTTTTTTTTAAAAAAAATGTTGTGATAGTGTTCTTTTTGAAATTATGAACCAAACTAGTAAATGTTCTGATTTGCAATGAAAGAATATCATTCTATATAAAAACTTTTATGCAAACATATCTTGTTTGGTTTGGTTTGGTTTATAAAAATTGTTTTTCAGTTCTTTTGTTTGTAGTGAATTATAGTGGAAAATAAATCCAAAAAAATTATAAATATGTAAAAATTGAGTCTTATCTAATAAAATTAAAAATTGTTGGGGGTATCTTTTTCTATTAAAAAACTATATGAAGGAGCTTTTTCATAAAATTTTTATTATAAAAAATGGAGGTGACATTGTGCAAAAGTAAATGAAAATTATTCCATCCCTCCTTTTTTTTTTTTTTACGCAAGATAAGAACATATTTGCACTAAACCTTAACTTATACAGTGTCAAACTAGGGTTTAACTTATACAGTTGCATTGTCAAACCAGGGTTGGTTCAACATCTCCAACTTAAGAAACTTTCTGCACCTAAAGAGACTTGAAAATTTATGTTAAATTTTTTTAATTTGTTTAGTTTAACTTCTAATTATAATTTATTTAAAAATAGTAATTTTTAAAAGTTAAACGAGGAATGTTGAAGGTTTCCTATCTCAAAAGAAGAAAGTGGAAAGGGAAAACGCTAGGTGGTGCATAAGGAGAAAAAGTAAGGGCATAAAATCAAATGGGTAAATTACACTAACATTCCTGAGGTTTGGATTTAGGGAGATTTGGTCAAAATCTTTTTATAATAAAATTTTAATGTATTAAGAACAAATATAAAAGTTTTCGTTGAAAAGTCCACCATACATCACTATTATCAAAATATCATTAGTGAGTAATTTAATATTTTAAACTTTAAAATGATATAACTTTTGATTTAAATATCAATTTTTAATAAAATTAATATTTTTAGAATTTTTTCATCAAGATTTATCAATCAAAATTCATATTGACTATGAAAAAAAATACCGTTGATATTGATGTAAATAGTAACATGTTACTCTTTTTCACAATAAAATATTGACAATAACATTTTATTGTCTGTTCTAAACAGGGCATCAGAAAAAAAAACCTATGATGAGAAAGCACAAGACTTACAATCTCACATTGTAGTACAGGTATGGAATACTAAATAGTGACATAAACCAAAGCCTGCCTAGTTATTAAATAAAGAAAGCACAAGACTCCTTGAGTGATAACCTTTGGCATAAGTACCTTATTTATTCGAGATGTAGAGTCATATGGGTTGGTGGAATCGAACTCCAAATTAGCCAAGCATATGAGCTGGTAAATAACAATAACGATGAGAGCACAACAATAACGAAGAAGACTATGAAGAAGAAGAACAATAGTCATGCGAATAGATCATTTATGCTTTGTCTTTAACTTTCTTTAATTTGTCTCTCAACATATACTAGAACCCAATAAAAATTCAAAAATTGAAAATGAAGAAATGATATAGGAACTGCCGAATTGGAATGTTGTAAGTAGGAATGAAACAATAGAAAAATGGCGGATTGTGAATCAAAGCTCGTTGAGGGAAAACGGGAAGGCTTTTTTGTCATGTGATTTTACAGATCAAGTGGAATCTATACTATATATATATATATATATATATCAAGCGTTAGATCGTCTATAAAAAATTAGAAATACTTTTTTTGTCCTTCTAAGGGGTTGTTTGGGGTGTCTTAAATAAGTGTACTTTTGACTTTTTGGACTAAAAAGTTGAGGAAAAAAATATGGTTGTTTGAGTTAATTTTTTAACCTTTTTATGAAAAAATATATATTAAAATATTGTATAAACTAGTGTGCAGTTAGAGTGTAGGTGAAGATTAGAGGGTGACTTGTATGGCTGTCATGTCTGCAAAGATTGTCATGTCTGCAAAGATGGAATAGATGGTAAGAAGTAATTGTCTACTTTTTGGACATAGCACTGGACGGTGCTATTCGGCTCGTGGGGGCCATTACAGGTCCCGTTTTGATAATTTGAACCGTTTAATGTGTAGAACTCGTCGAGTATTATGTGCCTGTAAAAAATTACGTTAATAGGATATCAATAGCTATCTGATCAGATTTGTTTTTTTTCCAACTGTTAATTATAACATCTTTATTTTTTTATACAAAACTAATTTGATCATGTAGTTATTGATATCCGATCAATGTGATTTTTTACAGACATATATTACTCGACGAGTTCTACACATTAGCGGTTTAGATTATCAAAACGGGACCCGTGATGAGTCCCTACGGGCCGAACAGCAGTGTGGTAAAATTGCACCCAACTGTGCAACTTTTTGTCACACAACCGCAGCACAGATCTGATTTCATTAGATTGATGTGTTGGTGAATAGTGATAAAATTAATTTTTTAATATTTTTTTTATGAATAGTAATAACTTTTTAACTTTTTTGTGACATAACAAACTTGGCCTAAAAATAAACGGGACTGTTTGAGGGGTTTAGAAGATTAAAAAAAAAAACAAAAATAAAAAAATAAAAAAGATTGTCCTTTTCACATTAAAATGTTGGTCCTAAGGGGTTTTGGCCAATTTTCCTTGGATATAGACTCCTCTCTCACGTTTGGGAAATTACTTTGACCCATGTCAGTGTAATTATTTTGACGAAGCTAACATTGGGATGAAAAGGACATGTTTTCCCCTAAACCTTTATATGTAGAAACTAATTATGAAAAAAAAGAATTAGATATTTTGTTCATGTTATTTTCAGAAAAAATGACAATCACTCTGTTTAGTTTTGAGTTTTAAAAAATAGTTTCTTGAGTTTTAAATTTTTAATGATTTTTTAAAATATTTTAATCAATTTTTTTTTAAAAATTTAGATCCACTTAATCTTAATATACTTAAAAAGTAAAAAAAAAAAAAAACAATACAAATTTTTTTAAAAATTCATTAAATACAACAAAATATGAAAATACATTAAATTTTTGTATTTGGTAAATCTTTAAAAAAAAACAATTCACAAATATTATACTTTTTAAGCATATTTAAATTAGGTGTATCTTAAAAATTAAAAATTAATGTAAAACATTAAAAAAATTCACCACAAAAACACAAAACAAAAAACAAAAAAATTAATTTTCTAGTACCAAACAGGATGAATAATAGCCTTTCATGTGTTTTTACCTACCCCAAGCCATATTTGGCTAGTAAATAAATTGCAAATGCAAGTGCGCTGGTGTAATATCTATTGTGATTGGACCTTTATTTTTGGTATATTAATAATTTTAAATAGGGTACAGAGAACTTTTTAAGGCCTCAAGGGGCAAATTAGTCACTTACACTTTCTTTTTGCTTTTGTTATCAATATTCTTCTAATAAGTTTAACATTCACAATAGGGGTTATTTCAATAGGAGTTTATGAAATACGCCTATTAACTACAACAGTGAAAATATATAATTTCCAAACTATTAGGCGTAGAAATATAAATAGGCCAAATGTCATGGTGTCAGTGTAATTTATTCAAAATAAAATGTACAAAAAAATGTCATAAAAGAGTGGGCCCAAGTGAATCACACATTAGGTGATTTCCAAACACTTGCTTGCACCCGCGAAAGATCCAAAGCCGAGGGACCCATCAAGATCAAGAAACCACTTAATCTAGGCATATGCTCCCAAGGACACCACTAAAAGAAACAAAAAAAAAGGGGAAATAGCAAACAAGTGGAATAGTGAAAAATAATTACGTTATAAATAAAAAAAATTTGTGGTGCAGATAAAATTATCCCATGCACGGGAATGATTTCACTATGTATACAAAAAACTTATACCACTATGAAAATAAAAATATGTTTTGACTGCACCACTGAAATACAAATTCTCAAAACAAACACATTAATCACATAAAAACCATAACAGAACCACTTTTAGAAAGGAAAAAAAATGCAAATAAAAATACTTCTAATCAAAGTTCATAAAGACATGGAATGGACTATACAGGGAACCAACCAAAACTATAGACTGCTTAAGCTGTTGCAAATGCAACATTATATAGCTTGAAATTCCCAAGTCCAGGTTTTAGGTTTTAAGTATCTGTATCAGATATGCGTCAATATCAATAATGCAATCACCCATCAATTGATATCGGACAGTTTCAGCCAATATGTCAACGAGTAACAAATTTCGAAAGTGCAAAATTTCATTATATAACCACGAATACAAAATGTAAAGGACGATATTTAAACCCTGTCAAGGAACATCCATCATTCCTGTTCCATGGCAATAATAAAGACATTATATCGAATAATATAGAGGGAACAAACCAAAGAATGTTAAAAAGTGGCCATTTCAACTCCAAACTATTTCATGTTATCATCAATCAAAATCAGACAATTTCCTCTTCTGTTCTAAATACTCCGGAGTCAAAATGAGATGGGAAGGGAAGGAAAATAAAAATAAAAAAAGGAGTAAAACGCAATTACAATTAGCCACAGTTCTTGCATGCAGCCTCCAATGTTTCTTTACCTAGACAAAGAAGAATACTGAAGCTAAAAATAAAAGAAAAAAAAAAAAGCACCTCAAAGCTCAAGTTCTCTAGATGAATTGCCGAACATTGTATACTACCACTCTCTCTCTCTCTCCCTACAGTTCATCCTGCAAATACAAAACATGAAGATTTAAAATGAGAAAAACAATTGGATCCCAGTACAGATACAAGAGTTGAACTAAAACAACCTAAAGTAGAAAGAAAGAAGCCTCTTACATGTGCATCATCAGCATCATCATCAATGGCAGCAGCAGCATCTTTCTTTTTGCTTGGTGAAGCAAAGGTATCATCAGCATCGTCATCAACATCACCAATAGCATCGGCAGTAGGATCTACTTCAGCTTCATCATCTTCGTCTTCATCATCAGCCTGAACATACGGTTATACCACAGTTAAGGACTCCCGTAAAATAAACAAATTAATCAAAAGATTGTTGAGATGAGTTCATAGGCTTACATCAGAATCTGCCGGATCAATCTTTGATTCCTGAAAGAAAATCAAATAAACAAGTTGGAAAAAGAAAAGGAAAAGCAAAATCAACAATCACCCACATGAAATAGATGACTCAGAGTACATTCAAATGGAAACAAACGAAGTTTCTAACTTATCATATCTAATACATGTTTAATAAAGTTCCATCTGCAATAATGCCTTTCCAGAACTCAAATCCTAATGTTTTGTTTGGTTCACTGGAATGAAAGTGAAATGGAAGAATATAATGATCACTCCTTAGCCTTCATATATGACCAATCCCTTATAATGGCTAATAATGTTCCATTTGCAACACATTTTTCATCATTCTTTTAGTGAGCCAAACATGAGAATGGACATTCTAAGATAATCATTCCATTACACTTTCATTCCAATTAACCAAACACTTTCTAGCAAATTACTGTTATTTTAATATCTGCAATAGCAGTGATGAACAGATCAATTACCTCGTCCTCCATGTTCTTCTCAGCCTCATCAAATGCGGCCTTCTCAGCCTGCAAAGTAATATAATATTAAACATCAGCAAACAGATTTTTTTTTTAAAAGAACTTGCTTTAAGGGACAAAAAGCAACATACATCCTTGTGTTTGCCCCATGTTTCCTCCGCCAGTTTGTTTGCATACTCAGGATCATCACAAATCAAGACATTGTCGAACAGGGTTCCAGATTTTACCTGACAAAAAATGGTGCACTTGCTTCACCATAGTCCCAAATCCACTATGATGACAACAGTCAAAAGGGGAAAAATAGAAATACCTGCCACAATTCGATGCCCACATACTTCAAGTTCGGGTAAACATATATATTAGGATCATCTTTGAATTCTGAATAAAGCAGCACTTCAGTGTTAGTGAAACAGGCAGCATGAAGATGTTGACTTAAGATAGATAACATGCAATGCCTTCAAAAGAAGAATGGGCAATGACCTGGATTGTCAATCATAGGTGCCTTCCACTTTCCCTTGTAGTTGGGATTCTTAATTTTCTGTAAAAAGGAAATAACTAGTCATAAAACAGCAGTTTCCAATGACTAGAGATGGTTTAATTTATATTACAAATTCCACAAACCTTTGCCTCCCATGGACCCTTGTACTCAGAATTAGCCATTGTTGGTGGTGTCCACTCACCATCTTCCTCATCATCCCAGTCTTCAGGCTGAAATTGCAAGCCATTTCATTCAGTAATTACATTACCTCCAACAACAATTTAAAAAAAGAGTATATATAACAAAAAAAATTAAATGGTAACCTTCTTGGCATCAGGATCTGGAATCTCTTTTGGGATATCATCATAACCCTGTGAAAACAAGAACATGTTCAGTTCAAATTACAAAACCAATATTCTTAGTTGTCAAATAATTTTTTTTTTAAATAAATAAATAAATAAAGAGAGGATGATTTGGTAATGAAATATTCATTACCTCTGGCTTCTTATCTTCAGGATCAGGAATGAATTCTTTCTCATCCCAATCTTCAGGCTGTCATCAATTAACAGTGGAGTCATTAAAAAAATAAATTAAAAGACATTGAACTGATCAAACACAAGACTGATTAGCATCCAGGCAGAAGCAGAAATTACCTTCTTGGCTTCAGGGTCCTTGATTTTCTTTGGTGGTAACAGGTCCCAATCAGAGAACAAGCTACCAGTTTGCTTCTCCACATTGTCAATAAGAATTCTGTAGGTAGCATCTGGGAGGAGGATGAATGTGTAGACATGTGTCAGCTGGTCAGTCTCACAAGGAACATCCTTCTTGATCAAGTGATTTGTATCTTTGTATGTAAGAATAGCATGGACTTTCTTGGTGCTGTAGCCACAGATATCTGGACCAAACATGATACTGCATACAACCATGTAGCAAATCAATAACTCAACAGATATAACAAACTTCTAGTAGAAGATAAAAAGGGGATGTGCTTTACGTTACCTATATGGGGTATCACCACCGAATTTCTTTTGATCAATTCCACTGCTAAGCAACTTCATGTAGCCACCACCACAGTCAAGCTTCTGTTCATGCTTAACGGAAAATTGGAAAACTAATGTCTTATCCTTGTTGCTGAATTCAGGGAACTCAGCTGATATAGCATAGAATCTGTAGTCTTCACTGGTCTGGATGCCTACATCATAACATGGAAGCTAAATCAGGTAAAGATCTGATAGAAAAGTTCATTGCCAAACACACACACACACACACACACACAAAAAAAAAAAAAGCACTTTCTACATTGCCATAGAAAATGTAAACATTATAATGAGGAAGAAGGTACCTTTATCATTAGGATCTCCATGCCATTTACCAGAAGTATAGTTCCATTCCCCAGCCATTTTCTCATCTTTCTTCCAGTCAGATTTAACCCACCGATTCTCCCAACCATCTTTAGAGTACACAAACGAGAACCATAATGAGAATAACATGTCAAACCAGAAACTCCCAAATGCTTTATGAAACAAAAGCTTCAAATAATTATCAAGCATAGACATAATACAAACAATTCACTTGCAGCAACAATGGACAAGAAAAACATATCAATTTCTTGGTAATTGACAGAAGAAGTAATTTAATTACAGATAAATACTCAAATACTACAAGAAAATTATGATTTTGGATAATTTACATCCATCAATGTTGTTTGTAATTACTTTATTTTGTTCTCACTTTCAAAGGCATATATAGCAGCTTGTAAATTGCATAAAAATTTGATATAGATGAACCGTAAATGCATCCCTACACAGGTAGGAATATAGGTAATTAGGTTCTTATGGGGAATATGCACACCTAGACAATAAAAATCATTTATAGCTATACTACAGAGTTGTGGATTTCTTGCTTGTATACTAAATACTCTGATTGATCAAAGACAAAACAAAACAGATGAAAAGAAGATGTTTAAATTATAATTTCCAATGAAATCATCTAGACATATACCTACACAGTTGCAGATTTCTTACTTGAATAGTCGTTACTCAAATAGATCAAACAAATGACTAAGCACTCCAGCAATCAGAATGCAAATTAAAGCTTGCGTACATTCACATCAAACAAGTTAAATCGCGATAGAAAAGCTCCATTGAAAACCATTAGAATTTCCATAATTAAACTACAAATCGCTAACACACAACAACGACAAAAATGCAGATACGATAACACAATAACGATCTAAATATCAAATTATCATCAGATCTATCACAACAGTTAAATTCAAATCATCAGATCATCAGATCGACAACACATGCGTAATCATAATGTCAATCTTCGGCAAGGAATATCAAATTAAACATCAATTCACTCCACTAAACCACCGAAAAATCATAGGAATCTCGAAATGCAAGCGAAAATCAGCAAGCAAGAATCAGAAAACACGAGCTAGAGAGAGAGAGAGAGAGAGAGAGAGAGAGAAGGTACCGTGAAAACGTTCTTCGAAGAAGACTTCGGCTGAAGCGATCGCGATGAGAGAGAAGGCAATGAGAGAGAGGAGACTAGGGTTTGGTCTCTCCGTCGCCATGGCTAATCAGAGGAGATGCGTGAAGAAGTGTAGGTGAGAGAGGAGAGAGTGTGTGTGTGTGTGTGTGTGTGATATTTATAGGCGATCTCTGTGTTAAATGCTTAATTTGCATATATTGGTTTGGAGGATAAGCTCAAGATTTTAATATAAAAAATTGTTCTTCGAGTTTTTTTTTTTTTTTAAAAATTATAAATTATAAATTATTTAGAATAATTTAAATAAATATATTTTTTAAATTTTTTATAAAAAAAAATATATAAAAAAATAAAAGGTGATGCGATTCAAATATGTACACTTATTTAACTAAGTACATTTACTTAGTTTATACCAAGTAGTGCGTGAATTTTAAGAGAAATATCAAATCAATAATATTTTGTAGAAAACAATTACAAATAAATGATAAATTTATATATATTCATAATTAAAAGGGAGTTTTTTTTATAAATTCTTTTTTTAAGAGTTTTATTTCATCCAATCCATATTCTTTTTGACTATTTCATTAGGTCCTATTTGAGGTAACAAGACCAAAATACCATTTTCATCTACTTATATTCCATTTAGTCCACATTATTTTCTTATGTTTCAATAAGTCCTATGGGTGACATAATTACCAAAATATTCTTAATGTGAATGTTCACACCGTCAATGTAAATGTTTTTAATTGAGGCAAGAAGACCAAAATACCATTTTCATCTACTTATGTTCCATTTAGTCCACATTATTTTCTTATGTTTCAATAAGTCCTATGTGTGACATAATTACCAAAATACCCCTAATGTGAATGCTCACATCGTCAATATAAATGTTCACACTGTCAATGTAAATGTTCACACCGTCAATGTGAATGTTCCTATTTGAGGTAAGAAGACCAAAATACCATTTTCATCTACTTATGTTTCATTTAGTCCACATTATTTTCTTATGTTTCAATAAGTCCTATGGGTGACATAATTACCAAAATACCCCTAATGTGAATGTTCACATCGTCAATATGAATGTTCACACCGTCAATGTGAATGTTCTTATTTGAGGTAAGAAGACCAAAATACCCTTTTCATCTACTTATGTTCCATTTAGTCCACATTATTTTCTTATATTTCAATAAATCCTATGGGTGACATAATTACCAAAATACCCCTAATGTGAATGTTCACATCGTCAATGTGAATGTTCACACCGTCAATGTGAATATTCCTATTTGAGGTAAGAAGACCAAAATATCATTTTAATCTATTTATGTTCCATTTAGTCCACATTATTTTCTTATGTTTCAATAAGTCCTATGAGTGACATAATTACCAAAATACCCCTAATGTGAATGTTCACATCGTATGGGTGACATAATTACCAAAATACCCTTAATGTGAATGTTCACATCGTCAATGTGAATGTTCACACTATCATTGTAAATATTCACACCGTTAATGTGAATGTTCACACCGTCAATGTGAATGTTCCTATTTGAGGTAAAAAGACCAAAATACCCTTTTCATCTACTTATGTTCTATTTAGTCCATATTATTTTCTTATCTTTCAATAAGTCCTATGGGTGACATAATTACCAAAATACTCTTAATGTGAATGTTTACATCCTATGGATGACATAATTACCAAAATACCCCTAATGTGAAAGTTCACATCGTCAATGTGAATGTTCACACTGTCAATGTAAATGTTCATATCATCAATATGCAGGGGCTCGGCCCAGCCCGGGCTGGGGCCAACCCATGTAAAGCCTCGTGGGTGCTTGCCAAAATTTGGGCAGAGCCAGACCAGCCCACGGGCAAAAAAATTAGGCCTAGGCCCTAGCCCTGGCACAAAGGTATTCAGGCTTTGGGTGCCCCGGTGGGTCGAGCCAAGGGGCTTGGGCCTAAACTTGGGCTTGGGTGAGCCTCGCCATTTTTTTTTTTAATTTTTTCTCCCAAAATTTTATTATTTTTCACAAAAAAAGACACCGGGACAGGCCTCGAGCCGAACCTTAAATGGGCCTTATGCAGGCCGAGCTTCAAAGTGATGGCCCAGGCCCTAGCCCAAGTTCTCGGGCTGGGCTCGGGTCCAAACGAGCTTGCCCCGGGCCGCGGGAGAGCTTTGGATAGCCCACGGGCCGCAGGCCAATTTTACACTCCTATCAATGTGAATATTAACATGTCAATGTGAATATTCACATTATCAACAGGTCGAACCCGCTCCAGGCCGCTGACCAATTTTACTCTCCTATCAATGTTAATGTTAACATATCAATGTGAATATTCACATTATAAATGGGGCTGGGCCGGGCCGGGCTCGCGAGCAAGTTTTGGGCCGCCTACGGGCCGCGGGTCAATTTTACACTCCTATCAACGTGAATGTTAATATGTTAATGTGAATATTCACATTGTCAACGGGCCAGGCCGGGCCTACCCCGAGCAGCCCACGGACCGCGGGCGGGTTTCGAGTCGCCCACGGGCCGCGGACCAATTTTACACTTCTATCAATGTGAATGTCAACATGTCAATGTGAATATTCACATTGTCAACGAATCGGGCCTGCCCCGGCCCAGGGGGGAGCTTTGGACCGCCCACGAGCCACGGGCCAATTTTACATTCTTACCAACGTGAATGTTAAAATATGAATATTTACAGTCCGCCTCGCCTCGGGCAACAGGCAGGTTTCGGGCCACCCACGGGTCGCGGGCCAATTTTACACTCATATCAATGTGAATGTTAACATGTCAATGTGAATATTCACATTGTAAACGAGCCGAGTCGGGCCTGCGGGCCAATTTTACACTCCTATCAATGTGAATGTTAACATGTCAATGTAAATATTCACATTGTAAACGGGCTGGGCCCCCGGGCGGGTTTCGGGCCGCCTACAAGCCGCGGGTCAATTTTACACTCCTATCAACGTGAATGTTAATATATTAATGTGAATATTCGCATTGTCAACGGGCCGGACTGGACTCGTCCCGGGCAGCCCACGGACCGCGGGCGAGTTTCGGACCGCCCACGGGCCGCGGGCCAATTTTACACTTCTATCAATGTGAATGTTAACATGTCAATGTGAATATTCACATTGTTAACGAATCAAGCCCGTCCCGGCTCGGGGGCGAGCTTTGGACCGCTCACGGGCCACGGGCCAATTTTACATTCTTACCAATGTGAATGTTAAAATATGAATATTTACATCATAAAATTGCTAACCGTTCAAAAAATATTTGTAAAGGTATCAAAATTAAATATAAGGGCATAGAGTCTAAAAAAAGAGTATAAATTAAGAAAAATGACTTTATGGAATAAAACTATACATATATAGGACTAAATGGGTTAATAAATTTCTTCATGAACTTTTTAGGTTAAAACACTTCTAAATGAGATTTATCAATAAAAATCTCTAATTAAAATTATAAAGATTTTCATTAATTTGTAATTATTTTTCAAAATTGGCCTGAATTATAATTTCCTTAAATTTTATTAATTTTGATAATTAAGGTTATAAATTTTGAGACAATTACAAAAAAATTAAATTAAATTTTAAAGATATTTTATAATTCTTGTAACAAAATAAATTGTGAATTTTAATTTTTATAATTTGAATCTTGATTTTTTGATTTGTTTTTAATCTAAATTATTTATTTATTTTCGTTAACTAAAACTAATAAACATAATATTTTAGTCATGAAATTTAATATAAATATATATAAAATATCTATTTTCATTAAGTTTAATGATTAAAATAATTATATTTTTATTAATTTTACCTAACAAAAATACATAAATTATTTTAAATTAAAAATAAATCAAAATTTTAAAATTTAAATTGATAAAATTAAAGACATATAATTAATTATGTTACAAGGGTCAAATTTTAAATTTTTCTTAAATTTATTCTAAATTGTTTCATAAATTTATAAATATTTTTTGAAATCAATCTTCCTAGTTAATACCAGTTAACGTGCACTCGATGCTGTGATATTGACGAATAGAAAGAAAAACTACATGCAATAGTGATTTAGATCACTAAAAAATGCATTATTAATAGTATTAATGCATTAGGAATGGGAAGAAAAAAAAAATAACGCATAGAAAGTGGGCAGGACCCACTGACACATCATTAGTGCTCCCTTTTTAATACTCCCAAGCATTTTTCAAACTACATGTCATATTTGACTGTCACGGATGTGACGTGGCGAAAAGTAATTGGAAATCGCACGAATTGGAGGGATTTGGACTGCACCACATGTGGTCAAACTTGATTGGAGAATTTTACAAGATTAGCCTATGTGACATTAGGTAAATTAACACTTATTTTCATTTTTACCTTAATTTTTAATTTGTTTCAAGTACTATCTCCCTAAACCTTATACATTAATTCAATATAATTCATTCCCTAACGATTGTCTAAAAACACATATTAAATAATTATGTCAGTCTCACATTAGATATTAAAATTAAAAATATTTTAACATATCTATTTATGTAAAATACATTAATAAAAAATCGAACATGCTATGTATTTAGATTTCAAAAATGACGTAAAATATTTGGATGTGCATTGTACTTGTTTCATGGTTCATTTTGACAGGAAATGGGATAAATAAAAAAAAGTTCTCAATTCTAACGCTCTTCAAATACCTAATGTGAAGTTAGCGTAAATAGTTTTTGAGAGGGAGATTTCATAAATTGGCATCGGGCTGTGGTAATGACCGAGCTAAATTGGGCCAAGCAAGTTTGGGCCGAGCTAGGTTGGGCCAAGCAAGTGGCAGTGCGCTTGGTCAAGGCCCCGATCTGATTTAGCCAGGATAATATCGGACTACTAGCCCGATTCACTTTATTTGCTCGTTGAGTTAGACGGGTTAGATTTTTCGCAGATCAGTCCAACCGAGAAGGAGCTCGGTCATAACTGAAGACAGCTAAGTCGTAGTGGGATTCTTTAATGAAGCCGGACAATTAGCACGATCGTGGTGTAATAATGTGGCACTGTGCTAGGCGTAGCTCAGTTTAGAGCATTGCATGTTTCAGAAATAACACAGTCATGGAAAGATGAAACGGCGCCGTGTTGTCCATTCGCGCTAATGCCGTTTGGCG